AAATAACTTTTCTTTAAGTGAAAAAGGGTACCTGAAGCAAAGATTGAATACCGGCATCCAATTGTGTGAGATTGACGAGAAGCATGACCAACAAGTGAGGAATGTCACAGGCTTGACTGTATAGAATATTCATGACAGCTTTCACCAATCCCATTTCCACCATTTTTTTAGCTAAATCGTGATTTTGTGACAAATTTACGAGGGCTTCTGCTGCGGGTTCGGAAACTTCCTGAATTTGATAAATCAAGTTAAATAGCGCGGAGAAATCAACAAACGGTCTTACCAACAAAAAAGTGTAGAATACATTTTCACTTTGACACACTATGTTTAGATGATAAATAGTCTTGATTCGCAAATTATATCGGTTGAAGGATTGAACGAATGCACATATTCCCTAAAATCGAAAATCACACAAACACACACACACGCGAAGAAATTAACTCCATTAGAGCATCACATTTGAAACAGCTAGAAGCCTATTATCAGCTAACACGCCTGCAAAAGTAGGAAAAAAACAAACACAAAAGAACGGAGCTCGACACAACTTCCAAATTTATCTTCCGATTACGCCCTTGAATTATATTTTCTATTTAGCCTCCTTTAACTTCTCCATATACGAAATCGCCCTTGAATTATATTTTCTATTTAGCCTCTTTTAACTTTTCAAATACGAAATCGACCTCTCGTTAATACAAGGGGGTTTTCAGTTCTTAATCCACTGCAATTTGCAGTAATACTAACAAAATTTCAACTAATTTCAGAAATATAATCGCATTAAATTAAACTTAAGCTTGATAATCTCCACTATAAACAAAGGTATTCTACAAAATATAAAAATAAAAATAATAAAAACCTTTTTTTCAGCAAGAAGGTGAGACAACGAAGAAACAGCAACACTGGAGTATTTCCCAAGAGACCGTAGCCCATCCTCGGACCCAGTATAATCCCGAAGAATATTTACAGCAGCTTTTTTAATCTACACAGTTACGAGTTAATTAAAAAAAAATCAGAAAATTAACATACCCTAATCAAAGTTAGTAAAAACAATTAGCTACAAAATATGCGCAGTGGAGTAATATAAATAAAATAAACAATTATTACAGGTGGGGAAGGAGACGAGAGAAAGCCCAGGAGTTCCTCCAGCTCCGTCGCCATTGTTGCTGCTTTCGCGAAGTTTCTGAACTGAGGCGAAAAAATGATGAAATGAAAAGGACTTGTTAGGAAATTAAATTAATTGTAAGGCCCGTGGCCCAAACCAAATGTCGGCCCGTTATCAATCCACCTAATTAATCAGTCGAATTAAATTAAATTGAATGGGATTAAGTGTTCTAATTAATTGTGGAGGGGTTAAAGTGTACAATAACTTCTTTGTAAGGGGTAAGAGTGCAATTTAACAACCCCAATTTTTTTTTACAGAGAGACCAATGTTTGTCACCTTCAATCATTCACTGCGCCTCTATCACTATCCCGTCTTCAAAATTGTTGCTGCGTTGGAATTCGATTCTGTAATGAGGTATAAATTCGTTTTCATTTTCTGTAATTACTTCGAATTTGAGTTGCAGATTCCAATTTTCAGCTCGAAATTCCTTCGCACCGTAAAAATCATTTTCTGTAATTTTTTTTTTCTCTTTCTCTGTTTCTTGGTTCAATTTCATAAACGCGTTATTTTGTGCGATTAATCTCAGTAATTGATAAAAAAAATAAAAAAAAATTGTATTTATTTTCTGAAAAATGCATTTTGTAGGGTACTGAGTTATCGTTTTTCATTATTGTAGATTGTTATGATCCATTTATATGATTTCGGATCCCAGAAGCTTCGTTAATGTGTGGGAAATTGTTGGCTTAGCTGCCAATTGAAGATATAACACCGATTCACTGAGGTATTTTGGTAAATAAAAGTAAATTGTTTTTAGGTTATTGAAAGTTTAGACATTGTTGAAGCCAGGGGGCCATGGCCCCCCCTAGAATTTTTTTTAAGTGTATGTTTTGCTCCATCATTGATTTCTTGTGTTATCATCTGAATTTTTAAGGAAGTCAAGATTGAATCAATCTCCACATGATCTTTAAAATGTTAGTGTACTTTGTGCACTGGCACAGGAACAGAAAGAGGTCGTCTCGTTGGGGCTATGAAAGCTTTGGTACGAAACAAATATTTAGTTGGTTTTATGTCGAGATTTTGCCCCTTTTAAATTGGTGACCGTGCATTTTCGTATGTTGCAGATGAGCTGGTACGTAGTTGAGGTGTATAGTGATGGGTAACGTTAAAAATAGCGAATCGTCATCTGAGAAACATTTGTGGGGTTCTCGCCGAACGAGAAAGATAACTTGGATTTTTAGACAGAGTCTGTGTTT